GAGCACAAACGGGTCCAAATGCGAGCTCCACCTGAAGACAGGGTAAACTATATTGTAGAACCCCCTGTATTCGTTGATTATGCGAGTTGGAAATAGAGTGGCTGAACAAGGTGGGACTTCGAGGTGGGCGATTCCCACGAGGAGGGGCTGGGTTACGTGCTAGTCAAGGAGTATTTGGCTGCGGTTGAGCACTCTCAGTAGCTGAGGTGGGTAACCGGACATAAGTCCTTGCGAGTGTGACCGGGTATATTGCACTGATAGCAGACGGTCCTCGGACGGGCCGAAACAGGCGCAGCGGACACGTGCCGATCGGAATGTGTCGGCGAGTTCGATGGAGTCCCCGTTTGGGAGGTATGACTCTGGTCATTACGCAGAATACTGTGTGCATATATGCACATTTTATCTAATTCCGCATAGGTTGTCGGGGCATCACAGAAAACTAGGCGATTCCACTCCTGGGGATGAAGTCCGTCAAGAATATTCCTGACTACCGCAGCCTCATTTGCATCCTGCTGAAGAACAGCGGCCATTTCCTTGATATCCGTTATGTACATAGATAGGGGTTCATTGGCCTTCTGAGCTCTCAAATACTCTGAATTTAGTAACGGCAACATGGAGCGCCGGGGGAATGTCTATGGTATGCTTCAAAATCTCATCATTGAACTTGTTCTGTGTGTAATACACACAACACAAACCTCAAGTAAACTTCAATGAAACGGAACTGTGTTAAATAAATTTAACCTGTTGCCAAATTGGGGTTTGTTGGAGAAATATATATTCAACTATATAGCCATTATAACTATATAGCCATTAAATGTTTTATCATTACATATGAAGATGTAAGATGGTTATATGGTGGAGGGGATAATTTGGAAGCCCCATTTTGATCCTCCCCTCACCAGGATGTTGACTGACCCACATCAATGAGAAACACCTCTGGTTACCTATCTATTAGTCCAGGGCAAGAAAACAAGAATTATATACAAAATTTTAGTTCAAAACTTTTGTGGTAAGAAACCATTTATCAGACTTAAAAATGGATCTCAAAAATATAAAATACAGAGATGTGAAATGGCATGAAGTGGAAGATTATGATCTTCTGGGTTGTAATGCCATGTTGTGGGAAAAATCATACAGTGTTTTAACACTTTGCGGACTGGTGGCATAATTTTATGCCCAGCGCTTTTAAACGTGGTGGACTGGTGGCATATTTTTATGACTTTAGGACACATTAGATTATAACACATTATACCTTTCTCTGGCACCACCCAAATAAAACGACTACTGCGTAATATTATTCCGGAATGTTTTCTTAGTAGGCAGTAATTTGATCTCACTGTTTGGGTACCCCTTCCAAAGGAAGATTATCTTTGACCCTTCAAGCTCTTATGTACCAGACAGGAAGTTAGTTGCACAATGAGTCAAGGACAGAAGAGGTTGAAAACCAAGCAATATCTTGACTTGTTCTCCAACGTGCTATCTGACGTGAGCTATTTGACATTCCTTCTGAGACGTGTAGTGATAGTGATTTGACAGTGGCAGTGGCAGAGGACAACAAACAATTGTGGCTACAGACAATATAAGTGAAAGTAGCTCCGACGAAAGTGCAGGTAGAAGGGGAATGTTTCCAGAAATATCACACTCTCAAGCACTTCTAAAAGCATTGGTAAGTGTTCTCCAAAAATTTTAGTTCATAAAATTAATTAGCATATTTTATATTAATTTTTAAATTGAACAGTGCGCAAGTTAGGGTAGTGGGTTAAAAAGTGCCGGTCCCCAGGGTGATTTAAATATTTAAATTGCCGGTCCGCAAAGTGTTAAGATAATGTAATACATCAAATTTATGGTGATGCTATCTGCAGGTAACATAACACACAGACTACATTAAGGCTACTTCACTCTCCCTTCTGATTCATGTTGATGGCTGTGGCATGTCCTGTCTATTCAGGTCGCATTACTTACTTCTTCTAACAGTTGTGGAACATCACCAAAAGAAAACTGAAATAGTTTAGCTATAGACCAGAGAATTGTAAAGGTTTAGAGATGTTTTACTATAGTACTCTGATATCTGTATTTATAACTCTGAATTAAGGTTATACAGCTATTTAGAAATGTTTAAATAGAATGGCAAAGGGTTAAATGTAATTTACTTTACGTCTGCGAATACAGAAACTATTAAACGTTAGTAGGGCAGCTGGTTTAGAATAAGTATAAATTCATGTCATGGCTAAGTTACATGTGGCTCACAAGATCAGTGAGTTCTATGCCAATGTGGGGCCACTGCACAGTGATCTTCCCCCACACTGCAAACAATATATCAAGATCTACGGTTATACAAGGAGTACGTCTTTTCCTAAGCAAAATAAAAGGATTCCTTTATTTACTTACTTTGCTGTAAGATCCTGAAGTTGTTCACGAGAAAAATGGGTAAATCTGCAGTTGGAGCCAAAAACGCATTCTCCGGTATGAAGAAATCTTTTGCAGGGTTCTTTTGCAGATTCTTCGGCCAGTAACGTTTGAGGGTCTGGAAGAACAAACACACGAAGCTGTGCACATCTTATGAGATCCGTTAAGCATATCAAATTGGCAGTTTTAACTGATGACATTTCGATACTTGTGTTACAATCTCGAAATTAAAAAATAAACAATGAATGCGCGTGTTGTCTTACGCATAACTTACCCCTAAAGGAATCGTAATGTTCTTTTCTTAGTCTCATGTGCATTGATCCATTTAAATGTTTCTTCCTAGCCTCTAAATCATCAATGAATGACCGGTCGCAATAATCTCTCTTTCCCATAACCACTATTTTATAAACTCAACATCCACAATATATACTTATATACTATAACCTCTAAAAATTTCCCTAAAACAAAACAATTACGTTAACAGTCTGTCATCGCGATATGCCTCACACTTCATTTACCGACGCAGGGCTAACACTACGGAAAATATACCTCATGATTCCAAAATTGCCTTCGATATTTCGAATGGAAAATGAAACACACAAATTAAATATTGTAGCAGATGTAGAAGGACCTCTTAAGAGAACAAATCCAATATAAAAATCTATAATCATGAAATGTTAAAGGAAATAATTCAATTTAAAATGTCTATGCTGGTATTGATTCAATCTGGATGATTTCAGCTATTCCCACCAGATGGCGAAACTGGGAGTGGGGGGGTTTCGTGACGTCAGTGCGGCCATGTTTGCAAGTATAATAATAGTTATAATGCTTATAATAATATAGATTTGTGAGGATTTGATACAAATCGTGCTTAAGATGTAATCAAAGGACGTGAGCAATGAATGCGTATTGTTGTCCGTTTTGGTTAATGTAATTTAGTCTGTTTGATTAGGCACATAAATTACATTAATAAAAACTACTTGATCCAGCACATAAAAAGATCGAAGCACTCATATCTTTGCTGTTGAAAAATCGCAGTTAGCAGCCCAAGAAAGGAAGGTCAAGAAACGCTTCCAATACAAAATTCACATTTCCTGTAGTACATAACAGACAGAAGTACGAAATTTTGCCTGTCGATTAAGATCTAGGTGAGGCTATAACTGCTCCACGCAAATTTCTCGACACACTGACTAAATTATGTAACTTCTTAGTGGGTTTATGTTCAGCTTCCACGGTAATTTGTTCTGCCAGTCTCAATCTTATCTAATAACTGTAATGTATGTTTTCTACATAATGTGTATTGTAGGTCTATTCTTCATGGTGGTGACCTGTGTAACAAATCAATTACCTTTCATCCTCCATTTGTCCAATATGGCTATACTGTCTAGGTACTTCATTACTGCCATAACATCCATTCCTTCACTCTGTTTTTCCCATGTCGATAGAAGTCATCAAATTTACCAAACCATATTTTACTCCTCAAATCTTCAGTTATTGATTGTAATTCATATATTACCCAACTAGAATCTAAGAAACTATTTAGGTAACTAACAAACCAACTAACGAATACAAATTTACCTAGCAATTAATAACTATGTGACTAATGAACCACTTGACCGAAACCTGATGGACTCTCTCAGAACTGAGGTTTTCATAACAATGACAATCTACAGCATGGCCTTCCAGTTGGATTGTAATGTCATGCAGTTTTAAGTGAGCCTGACATTTCAGAGGAACATACTGCCTCCATCTTCAGGGTTGAGGAGTAAGCCTAGCTTTGCCACCTACTTCTGTTGATTTCATGCTTGGCTTACTTTTCAGCCCAGAGATGAAGACAGTATATTTCTTTGAAATGTTGGCCTCTCTCTGAACTACAAGGTGTTGTGACCCAGAAGACTTTGTTCTTCTGATATACCCTATGCACATATCCGTCCACCTGCTCAAACCAACTAACCAACTAACCACTTAGTTTTCTAGCTACTTAGCTACATAAATATCTATCTAATGGATGCTCCTACAGAGAAGTTTATGGGTGGTTTGGAAAAAGTAATTATAAATCTAGGATTTTCTTCTTTTTTGTATTTACCTATTAACCATGTAACTGGAACATGTTTTCTAAATATAAGTAACAATTTTGTCCAGAGCATATAATTTACATAATGTCAGCAAAACTGATTTTTCTTTATTTAACAAATACAATAAAATGTTTTATACATTGGTGAACACAAAACAGATAATTACTGAAACTTTTCCTTATCTATAAAATAACTAAACAGACATGAATTCCCACCCAAAAGCATTTTATACATAAACAATGCCATTGTCATATTATCTATAATCAGGAAGAAACTGAAACCCCGTTCACATATAGCTTCAAGTACAGTAATTCGAACATAGCCTGCTTTCAATTCACACAGTATATATGATCACAAAGGCCATTTTTGCTATACACTGTACAGCTGATATGAGAATAATGCATTCAACACAAACACATCACGACAAATGTATCACAAATTTAGCTCCTTCTTCAGGTCAACAACTGATGTCAATACAACTGCAAGAACTGTCACATTTCAGACACACTCTACCATATTGACCATTCCACTTAATTACACATTCTCACAGGAATAGAAAATTCTGTTGCTAAATGACAGAACCTTCACAACTGAAAATTCAAAATACATTTCTACTTGTTAAGTCAACAAATAATACCTGCGTGAACGGGGCCTTACAATAAGCAGTAATAAGAGTTGGCATATGTACTGTTAGAACGTTAAGTGACGGTGTGCTGTATATAATGAGTGAACATGAATGCAGAAGATTGCAATGGCTGATATAACCATCATTAACAAAGATTCGAAATAAGTACCTTCCAACTACAATTCAGATACCGTACCTCAATTCTACGATTTCTAAGCTTGGGTTTCGAGGGCTATGCTACGACAGTAACTTCATGCAGCCGACCATGTTCTTTTTAAAAAAATCAGATTGCCACTTTACGTTCAAGAAGTCTCGTCCCCCGCTTCTGAAATCCTCAGTATCTTTCTTCATCAAGTTCTCTGCCCAAAAGGCTTTTTATTGATCGTTTGGCCCCGCCTGGTACGCAGGTGCATACTGTGGGCCTACTAAATCCCGTGTTCCATTTTGATGTTTGGGTTTATCCCCCAGCACAGTGGCAATGTCACGAGATACACTTCACTTCCAAGAAACGAAAAAGTTCTCAAATTCATGTTACACCTCCCGGACTAAAAACATTTTCGAAAATGGTAGGCCACACTTGATACGGTGTGTGGGAGCTTTATTCACTACACCTAATTTCTTGGGATTTATTTCACGACTGTCTCGGTATCTAAACCTCACAGCGTCAACTAAACTCGATGGCTCTGAACTAGGCTTTGTTTTGTTCCGAAGCCCAGACCTCTTCTTTATATCTGCAAGTTCTCTGTCGGATTCTCATATTACAAAGTCCAACTTGCGTGTAACTATCTAAACGAAAATGACGTAGAAGGTAAGTTTTGTGCAAGGAAACTTGAGTTGTGTAACAGATAAGCTTCCCATGCAGAACATTCATATTGTTATATTGTATAGTCTAGTAGATACAAATATTTCGTATAAATATATTGCCTCTACCATCAGAGTTGAGGTAAAGGGAGCGTGCTCTTCTGAAACATTGGTGATTATGTACAAAATTACACGATAATCATGTTCCAGAAGACCACAATAGCAAAATTTACATATTCCTTAAGTAACAATTTTTAATACAATCTATATAACCCTAGCAGTATTGTTGATAATTTATTTGATAAGTTGTACTCTACTCCAAGTATAATTAGAATGATCAAGTCAAGGAGGATCAGATGGGGACAGCATGTAGCACGAATGAGGCTAATAAGAATGAATATAGGATATCGGTGGGAAAGCCAAAAGGAAAGATCCCACTAAGAAGGCCAAGGCGTAGGTGGGTGGACAATGTTAAAATAGATCTTAGAGAGATAGGATAGAATATTATATTTAAGCATCCTGTTGCACTCCATACGATAAATGATATAAACTCCCTAATAACCCTAACAATTTTAAAATTTTAAAATTTGGACAAGAATTTAAAGGTTTAAAATTAGAACTAAAGATTTTTATTATGGTGCTATTACAATAAACTCAAAATTAACGTGTGTGAAGTAATCTACGGGTGGACAGCTATCAACGAAGTAGAAGTTGATAATGACAGGGAGAGTGTTTTAGATGTTAAATTTTGAACTGGGTGCAGTGTGACAGCGACGTGAGTGTTATACACCTGATGATGGCCGTCTGAGGCCGAAACATGTAGTGTAGGGAGCAAGATCAAAGACACAA